TTTAGCTTGATCCTAGGTTAACGAAATACTTCAAAGCAATCTTCCCAACAACTTGTTTTTTTAAACATGGAGATATTTTTATCATAAATGTTTTCTGGATCAGTAGATGATCGTTTTCTGAAGTTTTCAAAAATAAATGGATTTGCAGATGTTCCCAATCAAAAATTAGTGGGTTCAATTTTAACCCAGGATTGGCGCTAATCCAGCTTTGAACAACTGGTCTTTTAATCATAAATATTTTACTTTACATGCACTTTCTACATTTTGCAGACGTGAGCAAGTTATCCGAAAGATTTTAGTCCGTTATTGCATTTTGGATGATGACCCAGCGTATAGTGAAAAAGAAACATTCTTATTGGATAATCTTGCCGTCCCTGTCGTATGGATACATGAAGCTAAGGTATGCCTTTGAAAATCTCCCGGGTGCAGAAGCATATTCTTCAAAAACTTGGGTGCAAAAGCGTATTCTTCATTTGGTGGCATTATGGTGTGCATTATGACAATTCTCTCGCAGAACTATATCTATTCTAGAATTTCTAGTATATAGAAAGTTGGATTAATTTGGTTTAGTTGAGTTGGGTTTATTTGAGTTCAGTTTGTATAACCTATTACACGAAAGTTGCAGTTTGAAGGACTTTCTATATAATAAGTCAAATCTGCAGGCGTTAAAAATAATGACGGAGAAGACTTCAATAGCATTGGCTAATATATTCATGAAACATCTGATTTGAGATAGATTTAGATCATCATTCTGCATATTCATGTTTCAGGTAATTCGTGCAAGAATGGAAAATCGACCTAAAGACGAGGCATATCATCTTCTTAAGTCTGGTCATTTTAATCTCAGTCATGAAGTCATTTTAAACCGTCTCGCGTCGTCAGCTATAATCAACGGTAATTGAAAGCTTTAGTTTTAAACGTATTCCATGTTTGAATTATTGAATGAGACGAAGATTGGATAGTTCGATACATTTGTAGTGATTGCTGAACAGTGCATGTTAATGCATATAAAGCTTTAGGCCAAATTCTACCATAAATTTAAATCCAATCCCAATGCTTATACCCTAATGAAATTTCATCAAAATTCTTGGGTTGTCAACTTGCAGGATAATATTCACAACAAACATAATTATTACTCCTGCTATATAGTTCTTTGAATAACTCTATTTATACTATTTGAAACACAAGCAGGAATGTTTTATCAGGTTTGAGACGCAAGGCGACAGCCGAGTGTTTTAATACGTCGCAAAATCGTTATCTGGAAATGGTTCTGGATTTAATTATTATTGTGTGTAGAAAATAAAGCATGAAGTCCGCCATAATCGTCGAATAACTGAGTAGTTATTCTATTTAAATTACTATCTAACATTGTGTAATATTACATTGTGTTTAGAGGAGTACGAGTCGATCAAAGAATTACTGGTGGAGATAGCTCCACGTGAAAATTCTTCCCAAGTTAACCATTGGAATACTGGAGGTCAAATTTATCTTGATTACATCAAGTTATGGGAGAAATTTAATGACATCAAGGTAAATATTGCATGGCAATAGACCTTTCTTATAATTATTATTGTTAAACACTCCCACTCATTGTTCAATACAAAAGTCATAAGAAGTAATTACTTAAATTATATTCTAAAAACTATGTAAGATACTATTTCCTCTAAAATTTAAATATATAATATGAAGCTATTTATATAATAATCTAGGGTAAACTACTTATTATAGTTAATACTATTTAATTTAAAATTTAATCAGTAAAAGGTGTAATTCAGTTCTGCTCATCAAAAAGTTGTTCAACCAAGTAACTTCGTAGCTCATTTTTAAAACGTTCCAAATTGAAATTATGTTTTTTTTAACCATTCTGGCAAACTGTTCCATGAACATTAAGCAGCTCGGTAGCGAAAAGAACGTTGTCCGGTCGCTGTCCTATATAAAGGTATTTCCAATAATCCGTTAGATCTTGTGTTCAAATTATGTAATTGTGATCTTGTTTGAAGCATACGACATAAATATGATGGGACCATATAGTACCATTAATATACATTTATAAACCATTACTGTATCTCGGAATCGTAACATATAATTGACTGGTAACCATGCAGTTAAGCTGTTTTAAGGATGGCGTGATGTGATCAAATTTTTTTGTTCCAGTGACAATACGTGCTGCAAAGTTCTGAACTTTTTGCAATTTTGCAATGTTTTTCCATGAATTGGACCATATGGTTGAACAATAATAGAGCATGCTAAAAACCAGGGCATTTATTAAAAGAATTAACATTTTCATATCAAAAACATGCCTTGCTCTATTAATTTGGCACAGGCTACCGACACAAGAGGAAACCAGTTTTGTAACGTGTTCATCATACGTTAAACCGCTATCCAGTGTCAAAATAATGATAAACTGACTGCAATGATTTCGAACAAGATAATGATCGTTTATTAGACTCTTTATGGAGCTGACATTGGACGAAATATCGTTAAAATTTGTCCCTTGGGACATCGCATTAAGTGTTTTTCCGGGTTTGACGTCATTATAAGAAAGGTCTAAGGATGTTGCTCTATAATAGTATAATACCAATATTCGTTCTGAAATGGTCAAACAGTCTTGTAAATAAAAACTTCTATTTAAAATGAGAGATTTTTGTATCAGTTTTATTGAGTTAAACCCATTTTATGACATCATTTGAATAGACCAACTGTTGACAGTATGCGAATTTAGGAGCGTGCTATTTTATCATTGCACTATTAATTGTTTTATTGTGATAAAAATAAAACATTCTACTAACTCAGTTCGTTCTTCATATTTACCTCGAGTCGGTACGACACCGAGGTCTTAAATTCGGCTCCTATTTTTTTTTTTTTTTTTTTTTT